TCTTAGGGCTGCTAAGAGGCCCAAATGAGGTGATATTTCTGATGGTTTCTGAATAGTGCTCCATGCTGCTTGGAAGCAAAGTCTTATTATTATTACATGATCAATGCCTTATTTCTGCAATTACCAATCATTTGATTCAGCTTTGTATCCATTACAGAAAGCATATCTCAGAGTATTGGCTTGCTCAAATTATATTTATTTAACTTCCAACCTCCCATTAAAATGTATTATAATGGCTTGAAATTTAACAGCTTGCAAGTGAGAAAATATGTAAGTGATATCTACATTATACCCCTATTTTTTGGCATATTCCTCTTGTCACAGTGAGGAATGATGTTCATTTATCAATATCATCCATTACTATTGTTACCTAAACTATTATTTTGGTGATTATTTTATAAAGGCTACTTTTGAGAGAATCTTGTAAGTAGACAGTACACACATTATGAATCAGTTTTCCATCCTCTCTGCTACCAGAATATTCACCTCCCACTGCTTTACTTCTTCAAATCTTACTGTACTTGATGATACTCTAGAACTCATTTAGTGTCTTACTCCAAACTTGACCTTAATTAGCCAATTAACAGAGTATAAACTGCCTAAATTTTGTTCCTTATCTAACATAGTAAAAAATGTTGAAAAGTTATTAACAGGCTAAAGTTTATTACCATCTGTGTCACCTACTACTTTTGGAAATATCAGCAGGTTTATATTAAGCTATTAGTTTGAAATCTCATTCAGGATTTGGAAATTGATCATCTGTTAAGGTCACTATACAACCCAGTGTGCTTAGAGTGTTCTGTTTATGCCTGGTGTATATTTATCATTATTAATAGCACTCCCTCATCCCCCCAACATCTTATTCTAGGCAATAAAGAACATGACCATCCTGTTGAGGACAATATCTACAAAGCACCCTTCAACTCTTAAAATTATGGGTTATTAGCACAGGAAGTGTCTGTGGAGTCATAAGCATTCTCTAAGTACATGGATGATGAGGAAAAAATTCAATAGGGCTGGTCAATCAGATAGCTTAGTTTTGTTGAAAACTAGCTATATAACTTTTGATGAACTAAATTCCCTCAGACACTATGCTCTGTTTCAAAAATGATAGCATTGATTTAGAACCTATATTGTATCTCATTCTCTCTGTCTCATCTTTATTAATATTTTCTGATTATAAAATTAATGTCTAGTCTTTAAAATTGAAGCATTGTGAATCATGTAATAATTGGAAAGGAGAAATATCCCCATGATTCTATTCTCTAGATTTAGGCAATATTAAATATATTTGACATAAATTTAAGGTTCTCATAAGTTATTTTATTCTTGTGCTAGAGTTCTAAGGGATATTGTTATAGAGGAATTTTTGAGATCTTTCTAAAGGCAAAAGGAGTCATATTGAGTACTTGAGAGGCCGATGGCTCTTTAATTTTATCTAGAATTCAGTTCTATATAGGTCTTAGGAAATAGAGAATGGAGTGAAAATAGTTCTGATTCTCTACTTTGTACCTTGCTGTCTTTGCACCACGACCTGTCATTTATATAAAACCTGCACTGATTAGGGGTAGTATGCTTTATTTTGACTGACTCAACTGGTATGCATTACCTGCTGGCTATATCAAGACTCCTGCACAGGAGCACTAGTAATCCTCTTCGGCTTGTATGACTGTATTCAGTTGCAGTGATTTGCAGAACTGATGAGTTGTGACAGGAGACAGATGTCCTCAGAGTCCTCCTTCCCGTGGGTGACATGTCTTGGTGGACAGACTCTTCACTTTGCTAAGAATATGGTAAGAGCTCTGGGCCTCCTCTGGAGGCGTAGTGGTTGAGTGCTGGGCTGTGAAGCTGCCCGCAGCCTCTGCAGTGCCGGTTCGATCCCGGCCACCGGTGAACGTCCTACATGGCGCACAGACCTCTCCTGCTGCGCTGCTGCTCCCCTTAGTAGTGTATTTCGGTCCTTCTGCCTGTTCTGTTCCCCGTTCTGTCTCTGGTGAATTCTCTCACCCTCCCGCGCTTCTGACTGTACCCAGTGCTTGTATAAATAAATAAATAAATCTTCTATGGTAAGGACACCAAAATCACATGTCTAAAATGTAATTCTGGACTTTCCATTATAATACAAGCTGTCATAGGACTAATTAGAAATGTGAGTCCTAAACTTACCTATATAACTTTTGCCACTAATTAATGTGATGATAAGGGAAAAGACGTAAAGTGGCCAAATGGATATAACAATACTGTCATACTGTCTCAGTTACTCTAAGAAGTTAAGAGGTTCACCAAAGCATTTTGAAGAACGTAAAGGCTTACTCAAATGTTAGGCATAATTGTTATACTTGATTTATAGTGTTTACCTGGATATTCTGAATGTGTTTACCTGGATATTCTGAATGTGTTTACCTGGATATTCTGAATACTTCTGGTATGTTTGCCTAAGTAAATTGAGATCATTGTGGCTTATGCTATCATGGCATCATTGGAACTCTCCCAGGCACAGGGATTTTAATACTAGTCCCTCCCATTTTGTAATCAATGTCATATACTTTCTGTGTTGCCTAAACTATTAATTTGGTGATTACTTTGTAAAGATGACTTTTAAGGGAGTCATGTAATTAGACAGTACACACATTATGAATCAGTTTTCTATCCTTCTCTTCCCTAACAGAATTTCTCCCCTTTGATCCATATGGAAAATGTTCCATCTCTTGGGTTAATAAGCAGGTAATCAAATTATGCCATTTAAATTCTTTATGAAATGACAGTGTGGATAAAAACAATCTCTAAATTGTTTTTCACATTAAATTAATTCAAAGGTAGATTTGGTAATACTTCTGTTTTACTTTCTTCTCATCTTCCAGTCTCTTAATTCTTCATTTTCTAATGCTGACTGCTCACACTTTCCTTACCTCTGCTCTATTTTAAGACTACCTGTGTTCAGAGTTTTAAGGTCCAGGACCCACTGCTAGTTCTTTGCTGACACTTTTTTTTTAAAGCTATTCAGAGATGTGTTGTTAATGTTAAAAATAAAACATGCTTTCATGCAAAATATGTTTCTGGAACCTGGTAGGTAACAGTACAAAAACAAAAATAATAACAAGGCTGATGACATGTCTATGATTATCTAGTTCCACCCAGCTCAGGCTGGATAGTCTGTTTGATAATTGTAGCAGTAACAACAATAGTAGGAGATAGAGGTGGAGAGAGAGGTTCCTCCTGGGAAATGGGCAAGATTGCATCACCGATTTGATTAACAGAAGAAGCTGGGCTAAGGCTAGCTGGCGTAATCCTATGCACTGCAATGTTTGAGAAAATCACAGTGCATAGGATTACACCACCTAGTCCTAGCCCAGCTTCTGCTAATCAAATCGGTGATGTAATCTTCCCCTTTACCCAGGAGGCATCTCACTCTCCAGAGTGGCAGAGAATACATTTGATGCTTCTTACCCTGCCCTACATCCATGACCCCCTAACCCTTTGAACAGTCCCTGCTCCTGAGGAACCCAGTGACCCTGTGCTATTCAGTCTCAGTCCAGTAGCTGGTTCCATCTTTTCCTCCCTTGCTCAATTGAATTGCAAATCTATGCTTGCCTCAGTGAAAGCGTTTATATTTCTGATATGCATCCTGGCTCCCCTCCTCCTCAGGGAGAGCAAAAACCCTGAGGAAATGTAGTCAGCCTGAGTTAAGCCGAGCCTCTGATCAGATTAACTTCCTGTTTAATAAGACTTGAGGTAGGCATCCCAGCTGCGCTCCAGTCCTTTCACACAAGCAGAAAGATCAATGGCTGACTACCCTTATCTGTAGTGTGGGATCTGTGAATGTAACTTTGGACTCTGTTTCTCCAGTTTTATCATAAGATTCAGACTAGAAGTATTTGCACGTTTCAATGGGGGAGATTACTGTATAAGAAGAAAGAACTGGAAGTACTTATCCAGGGGAGGTGGTAAAAGTCTGGGCTAATAAAACTGTGGGTCTTACTTACTCCTTAAGACATTTAGACAAATAAAACATAATTCATAATGTCACAAACCTCTGTCTTCTTTTCCTAATATGTAAAAGGTATTGGGATAAAACAAAGTAATTCTTAAATCCCTATACTACTCTGGACTTCCGTGAGAGCCTCAGGCCCTATAAAGTCTCTATGGACAAGATATTTTGAAGAAAGGATGAAGAGGCCACAACATTGGACATTCTTTCATCTCCTCCACAAATAGTCATTCAGTGCTAATCAGGTGTAGGCACTCAAGTGAGTGAGTGCCTAACTGCAAAGAACTCATAGGTTAGTAGGTGAGAAACGACCATAATGTAATCATGATCCAATGTGGTCAGTACAAAATCAAGTTCCATGCTGGGTATTATGACATCCCAACTGCCACAATCATTACAGAAAGAAAAGTTGTCATGCCCTGTTCTGTTTGCAAGCTCAAAGAAACAAAGGTACCTTCACTTGCTTGCAAGAAGGGAAACATACATAAGAAAGGAGATTGGACCAATGATTCCCTTCCAATCTAAAGCTGTCTATATTCTATGATTCTATGTTAATTAACACTAACAAATGACAACTGAATACTGTTCTCCTTATGCAGTATTTTGAAATGCTATTTTTATTTGATCCTCACAAACACCTTTTGTGGCAGGATAAGTAGTCTCCCTGTTCTAAGCAGCTGAGATGCAGAATTGGAGTCTGGGTCTAGGGCAGCCTATGTTCCTATAGAGTCCTTTTTCAGCTAAAGCTCCATACTGTGCAGCACTGACCTCCAAGAGCATCGAGATGATGGGCCCCTTTCCCAGTATTTATTTCCAGCACCTTATAACTCACTGAGTCTTTGCAGAATCCTGTGTACACTCTTAGCACAAAGACAAAATCATGGCTTTGTACACACAACAGCAGGTCTTGTTTCCTGTGACTTAGCATGGATTTGTAGTGAAGAGGAAGAGACCTGGAAGGCAATTGTGATGTGTCATCATCCCATAGGCCATTGCTTCTCAAACCTTAGGGTACTTTTGAACCACCTGGAGATCCTGTTAATGTCCAGATTCTGGTTGAGTAGGTCTGGGCTGGAACCTGAGATTCTTCATTTGAAGCAAGTACCCAGGTGATTTTGCTGCTGGCTCATGACCCATAGTTCCCCTCTCTCCAGTGACAGAAATTCTCAGTCTTTCACAGGGGAGTTCAAGACTAGGCCTTGCTTTAAAGGCTACTGTAGTCAGTGATCTGAAAGTGGTCATAATTTGACTGCAGTTACAGTTCCTCATTTCTTCTCCCTATCCCTAATCTTCACACTTTCTAAGAAAGGAAGGGAGGGTGGTGGTAGAGAAGCAAGGGAGGGAAGAAAAGGATAAAAAGAAATCAATATACAGGTTGTCAGAACTAAACAAGCAGCAGATTGATGCAATGCTCACAGCAGGTGCCACGCCACTGGTTTGGAGTCTCCTCTTATTTAGCAAGGTCTATATTATATATTTTCTGAAAGAAAAGAGGAAACCATATAGATAAAATCTGTAGTCACCAGACCCTGTGGACAGGAACTAGGGGCAAGGAAGCCTTTGGGGTTAGAAGCCCTGAGGAAAGACCTGAGATCTGGTTAAACCAGTTCCATTTAAAGGGCTGTGGCTGGGTATTTCGGCAACAGAGCACCTCTCACTGCAGCCTCTGGGGTGATTTATTCCTTGTTGGTACTGTAGAATATGGCTTCATTTCCTGGCTTTTAGGGCTGGTGGAGGGGGTGGGTAGAAGTAAATGCTTTTGAAGTGATTTCCTTACTAAAACATTCAAATTGCTTTATCCTGAGGGAGATGGATTATTTTCTGAGTTTTCACTGTGTAGTTTCACCAAGCAATAGATGGAGGGGGCAGGGATGAGAGGCTGGAAACAGCCTTAGTCATGAATGTTCTGAGGGAGTAATACTAGGCAGGGTGGGGGAGGGGAGCTTTTTTCTACAAGGCAAGCTCTCTTAAAGCAGCTAGAAGAAACGTGAAAATCACCAGGGAAAACAGTCAATACACAGTTGTTGAATATATGTGTGAATGGAATATTTAAAACAGCCTTGGTCAGAGCCCCATGAGGTATGCTATGGGGAGTAGCACCTCTGTCAGTCACCTGCTATCTTCCTGGTCTCCACCCTGGTCTCAGGGTGATGGTGGAGGCTGTGGGGTGGTCATCTCTGGTGCTGATAGCCATGATCTGTCTGTGTTCTCAGGAGTGTGGGGGTGTGGTGTGTGTGGTCTATACCTGCATGTGGTGTGAGTTGTGTCGGTTTGTCTCTGTGTATGTGTGTTTGTGTGTTTCTCCTAGTGTGTGGCATATGTCTGTGTGTGTGTGGTGTGTGTCTGTATGGGAGGGTATGTCTCTGTATGTCAGTGTCTTCATGTATGTCTGTGTGGGGGAAGCAAGAGTGAGGGCGATGGCTAAGGTTTTCCAGGAGTCTGTGACTCCAGAGACCAGGGCAGAGCTCAGTTCAGGCCCTGGAGCCAGCCCTCCAGAGGGAAATCAGGGACATAGTAATTAGGTCTCTCCCGCCTCAGGCAAATGGTGAAGGAGTTTTCTTTCCCTGAACACCAGCCTTCAAAGATGGCAACCAGGAGGAAACAATAGATTTCACCTGCCCCAACTCAGCATCCTGAGGCCTATGGCATGAAGGAGCTGCTCTGAGCATCTGTCACAGATACCACTAGGTGACTTGAGCATCCTGATCTCAATCTCTTGTTCTTTCTCTAATTGGTTTACAATATTATATGTGACTCAAAGGTACAGGATCACAAATTTTCAGGTACCACATCTACCATCAAGGTACACATAGTTCTTACCATAGTTCCTGGTCTCTTTTTAATGGGACTTTTTAAATCCATTTATTTAAATGATTTATCAGAAGGAAATCATATTCTATCCTTGAACATTGAAAACTGACTTTGTGAGAAAATAGCACATTGAGAGGCAGGGAGACAGACAGAACAGAGATGTTTCATTTTACTTAAAGGAAATCTCCATGGAATTGTAAATAACACAAAACTTAAAATAGTCCATTTTGTGAAAGCAGTTACAGTTTTCTAATTGATTTGCATGTGTTATTCTACTGTGTTCCACAGTAGACCTGAGCTGGGCATTGGGATTGCCGCTTCATAGATGAGAGAACTGGGGCTTGAGAGGTTCTGACTTGTCCAAGGTCACACAATAAGTGGTAGATTTGGAACTTGATAAAAGATGTTCTTTTCCTTCTATTACACTGTGACAGATCTTCAAAAATAAGCTGTTTCATACCAGCCTACCTCCATATGGCCAGTCTACCTGTTTTGGGATATATTTTACAATCGCCTTTACAAAGTAAAATGACCACCACCTACTTTGTCGTTCTAGGCCATAACCTTAGTTTTTATCATCTTATAGACTTATTTAAAAAATATTCCCCTAGGGCCTCCCCGGTGGCGCAGCGGTTGAGCGCTGGGTTGCGAAGCTGCCCGCAGCCTCTGCAGCTCCGGTTCGATTCCCGGCTGCTCCCCGGCCACCAGAGGAGGGTCCCACATGGTGCGCAGACCTCTCCTGCCGCCCACTGCTCCCCTCAGCAGTGTACTTCGGTCCTTCTGCCTGCTCTGCTCCCTGCTCTGGCTCTGGTGAATTCTCTCACCCTCCCGCGCTTCTGACTGTACCCAGTGCATGTATAAACGAAACAAACGAACAAATAAATAAATAAATAAAAACATGCCTCTATAAAAAAAAAAAAAAGTTAAAAAAAAAAAAAATTCCCCTAATGGAGTCTGAAGTGAGGTTGCCATGTCTATCTTTCTACCTATTCTGAGTTGAGGAGAAGCACAGGGCACCTGCTCAGCACCAGTGTGACCCTACGTATCAGCTTCCATTACATTCAAGAATAAAGCAAGTGAAAGCTGTAGAGTAGAATAAAAATTAGCATGAACTTTGGAGTCAGATTTCTCTGCATATTCCAGCTTTATCACTCATTACTTTTCTCACTATAAAATATGAATATGAATAATACCTCTCTTAAAGGGAAGCTATGAGGGCTGAGTAAAGAATGCACATGAAGAGGTCAGTAGGTCAGTAGGTTCCAGATTGTAACTGACCACAGTTTTTAGGTGTCTAGCCTTTACAGTGGAACCATCGAGGAGATGTTTGACTTTGAAAGACATAAAAATTCAAAGTCACTTAAATGCTGTTCAACTGAAAGGCCTTTATTTTTAGCTGTGTGATGCTGTAGGTTTAGGAAATGCCAGAGTCAAGGCCATGTTTCATACATCTTTGTGTTTCTGCTACCAAGCACAGGCCTTGCATGGAAAATGTGCCCAGGGGCTGGGATGAGATGGGAAAGGGGAATGTGTGTGTTCTAGGTGAGGTGGTAAGTGAAGGGAGGTGTTAGATACAGTTGCAGGAATGTGGGAAGAGGTTCTCTGAGCATCCCCAACACAGCATCTTGCATCCCTTCTTCACAGCTTGCTTTTTCTTTCTCCTCTACTTTTGCAGAGCACAATATCAACATAGATACTCACGATCATTGTCCTGGGTATAATAATCTCTGCTTCACTAGTGAGGATCTTTGTTCATAGTGAAAGAGAAACACAATTAACTAAACATACAGAATTTGTACCTTTTTTCAACCTTGGAGATTGCTTAACAACTACTCATTTGTGCCTTGCTATTCTTGGAGCACACCTTTTTCTTCTGACTATTCACCAAGCCCATCTTCTCATAGGTCTCATCCTGTTCTCCTTGAACATAGAGCTGTGCTTTCGGGACTTCCCTGCCATTGGCATGGTCACAGTGAGCTGTGCTTTTGGCTCAACAGGCCCAATTCTGAGTTTTAATGGATGTCTTGCTTCCAACTGACTTCTCAGTCTTTTCCAAACTGTCTTATAACATCCCCACTTTTAACTGGAGAGAACAAAGAGGCATGGTGTTCGGGACACAGGGATTTGAGATCAAAAGTTCCTTTTAGATATATTTACTTGGGGATGGATGACCAATAAAATATTTAAATCAAGATTTCTTGAGGAGCAGAACTGCCTATATGCCAAAATGGAGAAGGGAATCTACAAAGGAGTTATCTATAAGGTCACTGAGAACCCAGTTTACCATCAGATCACTTCACTGTTAAGGCACTGACCTAAAGTCTAGCATTAGAGAGGCTCCATCAGATAGAACCAGATAGTCCCAGAGTCATATTCCGGCTGTATCTGTTACTGGAGCTGACCCAGAGTCACATTCTGGCTGTGTCTTTTATTGGAGCTATGACCTTAGGCAAACTGCTTAACTTTCTTATTCTATAAATTGGATACAATATGCAGAAAGAATATACCCTTCTGTGATTGTGACACAGAAGGGAAATAATGGATGTGAAGTCATTATTCGTATGTGATATGTATTAGATGCAAAATAAATGGGCATTATTTATTACGTTAGTACATATTGGCTAATTCTATAAAAGCCACCCACTAAACTATGAACATGCCTTCTGGGAGGAATGATACTCTTAGTTTATCAGTTTTACTAGATTTCACCTTGTGAAACAGTGAAGTTCTGAGGTATGAGATAAAGAGGGGGCGGTGCACGAGGGAGTAAGTGGCCTGGTGGATGGGGAGGTATGGCAACAGGATAGAGCCCACATGGACACATGTGGTGGTGATCCTTGAGTTGCTGGGGAATTGCAGAAGAGCCCTGGATGCCCGGGAAAGGGAACTCACTAAACAGAAAGAGGATGGTGCCCATACTCTATGCTGGAAAGAGGTGCCTAGCACTAATGTATTACTGCCCACATCACTAAGATTGGACTAGTGCCCTCAATGATTATGTTGGAAATGATGGTAGATGAGGTCATAGAACTCTAGACTTTGGGAAGTGTTCTTCATCACTTATGTGGCTCTTGAGTATTTCCAAATAGCTCTGTTTTCTGCTGTCTCCAGTTACAATAGAAGAGAGCTCAGAGACAAATTGAACATTCCCTAGAACACTGCATGAAGACCAAATGAAAACCAGGCAAGTGTTTGCTCACAATTGTGTCACAATTGCTTGGCTTTTGGAGAATTGATCTAGAGGCAGAGAACCCAGAGACCTCTTTCCCATTTGATTCATAATCAATTCTGCTTTTTGTGTTTTATTGAGTAGTTACATTCTGTGAAACGATACTAATATATTGTTCTCTGCCTTAAGTTTCTGACACAGAGCTCCCAAATCCCTTGGAATTTTCTGGATAATAGGATAATGGATGTCTTTTTTTCCTGTGAGGAACTACTGATAGATTCCCAGATCGCTTCAGTATGAGGAGAGATTACCAGAAGGACTGAGTCATGATTAGAAGCTTGGGATTTTCAGCTTCGCTCCCACAGTTATCCTCCAGGAATGGGAGAAGTGTTGGAGATTGATGTAATTGTTGATAATGCCCACACGATAAAGATTCCATAAAAATCTCCAACATCCTGGGTTCAGAAAACTTCTGAGTTGGTGAATATGTGTACCTGCCAAATAGTGGCACAACTCAATTCCCTGAGGACAGAGGTCCTTGCACCTAGGACCTTTCTAGACTTTACCCTACGTATCTCTTCATTTGTTTATTCATTTATGCCCTTTCAAATAGACTGTGAAATGCAAATAAGTGTTTCTCTGAGTTCTGAGAGTCATTCTAGAATATTATTGAACCCAAAGAGAGCAATGGAAATCCCTGGTTATATCCTGTCAAAATACAGGTGACAGCCTGAAGCTTGAGACTGGTATCTGAAGGGGGGAGAGTGTAGTGAGGTTGAGCCTTAATCTGTGGGATTAATTTTAACTCCATGCAGATAGTGTTGGGACTGAATTGAATTTTAGGATACTTAGTGATGTTAAAGAATTGTTTGATGTGTGGAAAACCCACATATCTGGTGTCAGAAGTGTTTTTAATACTGTGAGAGAAAAGGAAAAACACAGGCATGTGTTTCATAAAAAAATTCTTTTCTTCCCTATTCTTTAGTACCTGGGACACTAAGATTACTTTAGGGAGCTTTTCATGTAGTACTTGAGGACTGAAGAAAATGACTTATTGTTAGAATAGTGAGGTACCAACAAAAAGCATTTCACAGGAAAGCTGACTTACCATTGATACATAATTATTTTTATGAGCTATACTCTGAATCCAGGCTGCTAGAAATCCTCCATCCCTCACTTATCTAGCCCAAAATCTGAACTTTTCATTTCATAGTTCATCAAAAATTATATGAAATTGGCATGGAATAGAGAACTAGATATTATGGTGGTTGTAGGGGCATTGATTTGGATGGTGGAAGCAGCCACACCTTTCTCCCTTCCTTGAATCAAAACAAAAATATTGATGGTTGGGCATTTGCTGTGACCAGTTTATGGGGGAACTATCTGTGGCATTACTCTAGTTTCCTCTTGAGTTGGATCTACACACTGGTTCATTTTCTTCCTGTGTATTTTTTTAGCTGAATGACAAATTTAAAAAGCATGTTAAGGAACACCTGCCATGTTTCACCAAGGGTCCTTGATGCCTCTTATGAACAAATTCAATCCCAGAAAAGCCTCACAAGCAAAGAAACAGCCAAGGGAATGCAGCAGCCATCTGGATGCCTGACCAAAGCAGAAGATATGCCCAATTGTAGTACAGTAAGTGTGAAGTCATTATTTTTTAACTTGGCCAAGAATATTGATTTCATTACATTTAAAGTGAGAAAGAAAAATAGTTTAAGATGCAATGTTTTCCATTTGTAATTTTAGGAGAGAAGCTATTTTAAGGTATTTGACCAAGTTCAAAGAAGTAAACTGATCCACCAGAAGATAAGCAAACAGGAAAAAGGAGCTATCTGTGATATAACTTGAAGCAGAAGGCGTTTACAACTAACTGTATTATATTTTATTGAGCAGTTCTGGGCACGTGATATTTAATTCTCACCACATCAGTACCAAGTGAGCCTGAAGTTCTTATTTAGATGAAAGAAAATATGAAATATATGAAATATTGACCTAAGTTTATAAAACCAATGGGTATAAGAGTTTGGACTTGAATCCAAAGTCTGTTCTCATCTCACAATAACACCCTGTCTCCTTACTTGCTCATTTATTTCACACAAAGTAAATGCTGTTTTGCTGCTAACCATGCATTCCAATTACTCATTCAACATTTATTTAACCAGTGTTTGTTGTAACCTCCTATCTGCCAGGGATTAAAAAGCATATAACAGTTCATAAAGCAAAGCCCATATTCTTGAGCTTACAGTCTGATAGGGGAAATAATTGCAAAACATGACACAATGTAAAATATGCCCAAGGAGAAATATGTGTATTTGCTTCCTCTTTTCTCCTTTCCACAGATAATCAATAATTAATCCTACTTTGTATTTTGCTCATACCTGCCTTCCAAGGAAACCAAATGCTTGCATATATTATCTTGTCAACTCTCCTAATAGAACAGCTTCATAGTTCAGTTCTAAAAACCTATCAGCTTGCAAAACTGTATGTAGTCAGTCTTGTATTCTCAAGTTAAACCAGTGACACAATGTCTTGCATTAGCATCAGCAATTTAAGTACAGAGCAGTGCTGAGAGTCACACATTTCAGTTTTATTTAGATCGGCATGGGTACCTAAGTCCAATTTTTCTTTTATAGATTATGGACTGATAAGTCAGTCAATGGACCAAGAGTGAGGGGTGAGGGTATAAAAAATGATGCATTGTTATTCCATTTGGCCAATAGCTAAAGGTAAACCCCAAAGGGAAATTAAGGGTCTTTGGTAGCTTTTAAATGATATTATAAAGAAAGTTGCTGTTTGTGGAAGATTGCCGGTGTGCTAGGCATAGTGCTGAGCGCTTTACTTTTATCATCTCATTTAGAGATTTCTCCCCTCTTCTCCCAACAAGTTTAAGAAGATTGTACTTATTTTTGGGGTAATTACTCATTATTTCCATAGAAGTGAAGGAATTAGGACTCAGATCGGTTAAGTAACTTGACTTAGGCCAGTTAGTTAATCTTATATGAGCTTAAAGTTCAGTCACAGATCTTTTCCCATAAAGTGCAGGTCCTATTGACCTGAGAAGATTTTGAGAATTCAGGAAAGCTGCATGTAGACACAGGCTGGGTGTCTAGGGAGGCTACAGCAAGATGCAGATGAAAAGATAAGAAACACCCAGGTTGAAGGTGAAGCTGTGAATTACAAGAGTTTACAGTAAAAACTCTTGCTTGAAATAATAGAAGCCCAATTCAAATTCTTAGAGCACCGAGGAACTTTTTGGCTTACTAAACTATAAATATAATAGAAGAGTGGGTCCAATGGTCTTATTTAGGGAAATGAAGACCTCAAGCCTCTATCTGTCTCTGATTCGCATGATTCATCTCTGTCTCTTTTCTTTCTACTTTGAATCTAGCTCCTCCCATGTGGTTGAAACCCTGGCTATCTGTTGTCTTAGAATTGTATCTTTAAGGTTTCATGACTCATGAGGCCAAAACAAAACAAACAAACATGCAATTGCACACCATAAATTTCAGATAAAAAATTCCCAGGAAAAGTTTCTGATTGGTTGTGTCTAGAATATGTACCCTCTCTGTGGCTGGGGCAACACTTTGATTAGAATCTACCCCAACAGAGCATATGGTGGCATAGAAAAAGAGGTGTTGAAATGGCAATAACAATGAAGTCCACTATAAGCATAAGCCAGATTAGTGATAAAAAGAGACATAAGAAACTAAGTATGTATGGAATATAAACCTTAAAATTCACTGGTGTTTTGCCTAGTAAAACTTCCTGCCATCAGAAGCTAGTCTAAGCCAACACAAGATTGACATCATAGAATAACAGATACCTTCCAGCTTGTTCCTCTGTGGTCCACCCATTTGGCTCTTTCTTTGGTTACTTGTTTATATAAGCTTATTCCCTCTAAAATTACATTATGTGTTCTGTTCCTGTTTGCAAAGGTGTCCTTCCAATTTTTCAGATCTCAACTCAAATTCCACCTCCTGTGGAAGATTTCTCCTAATACCCTTTTATTATAAAGCAATTCCCTTACAAAAGCCAGTTTTATCTCCCCATAGTACTAAATACCACTGAAATTTTCATTCTTTTCTCTCACCTTTTCTGTTTTGCTTCCCTAAAACATAACTTTGATGGGAGCAGAGGTCTTTTCTCTCTTCTTGCTCCTTTTAATGTTATACCTACAACAGACTTCTGGCATACTGTGTAAATCCTTAATACATATTTATTGAATAACTAATGGAATGAGTGAATCCTAGACTTAGAATGGACTGTAGATTTTAACCTGCAGATTTATACATACTAGGAACTTCAAATAATATTTTTTTGAGGTAACATTGGTTTACAGCACTGTATCTGATTTAGAGAAATAGGTTCACACTTACTCAGCTGTGTGTCACCTCACTACACCTACAACCAAAACACCCTTAGTCCTTTATCAGAGACCATTGGGATGACTGACCCTTTGTTTCTACACCTCCTCTTTCCCCTTCTAATATGCTCAGTCCGGAAGTCACATTTTTAGGGTCAAACGTGTTTTTAAATGAATGGAAAAATCAAAGGATCCAGGAAAATTGTATTACTGAAATATGCTGATAATGTTGTTGAATTTGAATGATATAACAAAGACTTTAAATTCTCACCAAAAGGTTAAAGGCAAATGCCCATTATCTCTTTCCAATTTTTTACTACATTGCATGGGTTATATTTTAGAGAGGCCTGGTTTCTTGCAAGGTTATCATTTATTTAATGTATTTTCTGTGCTTGATATGGTAGGTACTTTACATGAGAACCATAGTATTAGGTAGCTTTCACATGTCCCAAAGGCTTTTAAAAGATGGACTGGGATCAGAACCCCCTCCCCTAAATCATAGTGGGAGTGTTTTCACAAGTGCTCTAGAAGATCAAGGAAGAAATTTCAGAGTTGTGTGTTTGAGGAGATCTAATAATTGCTACTTAGTTACAAACCTGTCTCATTTTTGTCTGTGTTCAGCATGTGGGTGAATAAATGAAATTTTTTTTTTTTTTTTTTTTTTTTTTTTTTTTTTATAAATTTTATTGTTATATTCCCCATACAATTGCCGCCCCCCATTCTGACCCCAATCCCTCCCCTCCCGCCCCCGCCCCCCTAAAAGTGTCTCTGGTTCATAGTTTTTTGTTGATTTTGATTTTCACTTTCTTATAGTTTTTCATTTTCCTGGTCCATTATTTAAGTTTTCTAGATTCCTGCTATGAGTGAGACCATCCGGTATTTTTCTTTTTCTTTTTGGCTTATTTCGCTGAGCATGATCCCTTCCAGCGCCATCCATGTTGCAGCAAATTGCATGTGTTTATCTTTTTTGAATGCTGAGTAATATTCCATGGTATATATGTACCACATCTTCTTGATCCAGTCATCTATTTTTGGGCATTTGGGTTGTTTCCAAAGCTTAGCTATTGTAAACAGTGCTGCTATAAACATAGGGGTGCAGGTGTTCTTTGGAATTGATGTTTCTGTGTCCTTTGGGTAAATACCTAGGAGTGGAATTGCTGGGTCATATGGAAGCTCTATGTTTAGTAGGTCCAGAAATCTCCACACAGCTTTCCACAGAGGTTGGACCAGTTTGCACTCCCACCAACAGTGCAGAAGAGTTCCTTTTTCTCCACACCCTCGCCAACATTTGTTGTTGCTAGTTTTTTTAATATGTGCCATTCTCACTGGTGTAAGATGGTATCTCATGGTAGTTTTGATTTGCATTTCCCTGATGACAAGTGATGTTGAACATTTTTTCATATGCCTGTTGGCCATTTGCATTTCCTCTTCAGAGAAGTTTCTTTTAAGCTCTTCTGCCCATTTTTTGACTGGATTATTTTCTTTGTTGTTGTTGAGTCTCATCAGCTCTTTGCAGATTTTTGTGATCAGTCCTTTATCATTAGTGTTGGGTGCAAAAATGTTCTCCCAGTTGGTGGGGTTTCTCTTTGTTTTTGTTATTGTCTCTTTTGCTGTGCAAAAGCTCTTTAATTTGATATAGTCCCAGCTGTTTATCTTTGCCTTCACTATCACTGCTTTGGGTGATGTGTCTGTAAAGATGTCTTTGATGTGCAAATCACGTAGTGTTTCGCCTATATTTCCTTCTATATATTTTATGGTTTCAGGTCTTATGTCTAGTTCTTTAATCCATTTTGAGTTGATTTTTGTGTATGGTGTGAGGTGGTGGTCAAGCTTCATTCTTTTGCATGTAGCGACCCAGTTTTCCCAGCACCATTTATTGAACAAACTTTCTTTGCTCCAATGCATAGTCTTTGCTCCTTTGTCAAAGATTAGTTGACCATAAATCTGTGGGTTTATTTCTGGATTTTCTATTCGATTCCATTGGTCTGTATGTCTGTTCTTGTTCCAATACCATGCAGTTTTGATGATTATGGCTTTGTAGTATAGTTTGAAGTCTGGGAGTCTGATGCCTCCATTCCCTTCTTTTTTTTTCAGGAGAGCTTTGGCTATTCGGGGTTTTTTGTGATTCCATATGAATTTCATCAATAATTTTTCTATTTCTTTGAAGAATGACATTGAAATTTTGATTGGAATAGCATTGAATCTGTATATTGCTTTTGGAAGGATGGCCATTTTAATAATGTTTATTCTTCCAATCCATGAGCAGGGGATGTCTCTCCATTTCTTTGTGTCTTCTTCTATTTCTTTTAACAGTGTTTTATAGTTTTCTTTGTATAGGTCCTTTACCTCTTTTGTTAGATTTATTCCCAAATATTTGATTTTTTTTGTTTCAATAACAAAAGGGATGGTCTTTTCGATTTCTTCTTCTTCAGATTTATTGTTTGTGTATAGGAAGGCTACTGACTTTTGCGTGTTGATTTTGTATCCTGCCACTTTACTGAACTGATTGATGAGTTGAATTAGCTTTTCTGTGGAGTTTTTGGGGTTCTCTATGTATAATATCATATCGTCTGCAAATAGTGATAGTTTGACTTCTTCTTTTCCTATTTGGATTCCTTGGA